GCCATGTTTGTTTTAGCAAGACACCAGAAACACCCCTAACCCATCCTTCATTAGTGGTTGAATCAGTCACCCTGCATCCATCCATCCAGTGGAATTCTCTGCTGCCCTCTCACAGCTGGAAGTTCTCCAAGTGGCTGGCTGACAAAAGCAGTGTGAATAATGATGTACAGAAAAGGTTCCCCATGTGTATAAAAATGATAATATACAAAATAAGCGTATACAATGTCTGGCTATCAAAAACTTTCTGGAAGGGGTGAGAGTTTGGAATAGAAAAGAGATTTAGCATATAGAAATACAAATATATACTTATATTTATTTTATTATATATACGCAGAGAAAAATAAATTAATTTTTAATTACACAGAGGAAAAAGACAAACACACCTACAGATATGGAAATATGCTAGATATCCTAAAGGAAAACAAAAACTCCAGTGAAGGATTTTTAGAACAATTTGGATAAACCAAAACACACAATGTTCCTGAATGGGAACACATGGCATGTTAACATGTCAATTCTATCCCAATGCAATCTATAATTTTAATGTGAGTCCAATTCATCTCTCAAGTCTATTCCTTTTGAGTCTTTACCAGAAAAATTTTAAACTCATCTGGAAGACTAAACTTTTAAGACTAGGCAAGAATATTTTTTAAGAGGTAGTTTAAAGCCTGGAAAGTAGGTGGGGGTAGGGCTTGCCCTTCCAGTTATTATATGCGTGTGTGTGTGTGTGTGTGTGTGTGTGTGTGTGTGTAATTAAAGAAATATTGTTTGGAATATAAATAAATGGACATAGGAGGAAATAAGAATGAAAAGTTCATGGTACAGCCCCTCTGGAAAACAGTGTGGAGGTTCCTCAGGAAACTAACAATAAAACTCCCCTATGACCCAGCAATAGCACTGCTAGGAATTTACCCAAGGGATACAGAAATGCTGAGGCATAGGAGCACATGTACCCCGATGTTCATAGCAGCACTCTCCACAATAGCTAAAACATGGAAAGAGCCTAAGTGTCCATCAACAGATGAATGGATCAAGAAGATGTGGTTTATCTATACCATGGAATACTACATGGCAATGAGAAACAATGAAATCTGGTCCTGTGTAACAACATGGATGGACCTTGAGGGTGTTATGCTGAGCGAAATAAGTCAGGCAGAGAAGGACAAATATCATATGTTTGCACGTATAGGAGGATTAGGAGGAACTTAACTGAGGAACAAGGGGGAGAAGAAGGGGGAAAATGGTGGGGGAAAGGGAGAGACGCAATCCATGAGAGACTCTTGAATGCTGACAAAAACTGAGGACTGATGGATGTGGGGGGGTACGGGGGATGGGCATGGAGGAGGGCACTTGTGGGGATGAGCACTGAGTGTTATGTGGAAACCAATTTGACAATAAACTATTCGTAAGAAAAAAAAAGAATGAAAAGTTCAATCATAGACAAATAGACCTAAGAACATACGTGTATGTGTCCATATATGTGATAATGCTGATAGAGCAGACATTGGTTGTTTTTTGACCACTGATCATACATTTCTTGCCTCCTCCAACTCCCTACCCTTCCTAATAGCACCTAAATTCATTTTGGGGAATTATCTCTTAAATTGCCTTGGATTCAGTGTGGTGGAACAGTTATGCAGATTTCTGTCTTGCCCTGACCCATCGGTCAAATGCTCTCTCTCTGGGTTCTGACTCTAGACAGAGATTAAAAAGCACTGGAACTGTTCACTGAGGAGAACAGTATCTCGATGAGTTCAGGATTCCTGCAGCCAGAACACTCTCTGGGACAGGCTTCTGTATCCACAGAAGTTTCCTTGGAACCATCCAGTTTCCAAGCTTAATCTTTAACCCTCTTGGTTATTCTACAGGCCCTATCGTCTTTGCAATATATAGCCTATAGCTTTGTCAGCTTTTGTAACTTGCCACCAAAGGACTCTTAGAATTCAGGTGGCATTTCAAATCATCAGGAAAATATTAGATTACTCAGGGAGTCATTTTAGGAAAGTTAGCTACTCATTTGGGGGAGATTATTCAAATTCATTAAATAAGTTCCAAATATGAAAGAGTTAACTATATTAAAAAAGGGGCAGGGGGTAACATGATATTGGAAAGAATGTCTTTTTTATTGGTTCCAAGATAAGACCACAAAGGAAAACATTCATAGATTTAAATACACTAAATCTAAAAGGCACCTAACAATCCAGGAAATATATTTGACCAATACGAGCTATAGGACTCAAGACCATAATTTGTAAGAATCTCTTAAAAATCAGAAGGATAGTTAAATCTAAAAATGGGTAAAGGCCCCAGTCAATTCATAGGGGAAATATAAATGATATACAAATAATATTGTATGTGTACATATAAACTTCTGTATGTACAATTATAATATAAGTGAATTATACAATTGCATATATGAAGAGATCTTACAAATCACTAAGATAAATACTTCTAAAAATGGTAAAGGTCAGAGTCAACTCACTCACTGAACAAGAAATATAAATGGTGTGTATACACATATATTTAACTGCACATATGTATGTACATATATAAACTCATATATATGCAATTATAATAAAGTTCAGTCTTATTAATATTAAAGGAATTCAAATTAAAGTAATGATGTCATTTTATACCTTTCAAATTAGCATAAATTTTAAAAAGTAACAATTTGCGGTGCTGGCAAGGGTGTGGGAAGAAAAGCATTCTCATAAATTGGGATTATAAATTGGTAAACTCATTTAGAACACAGTAGGTCAATATGTAGCACATGTTTTAAAGATAATGGCAACTTTCATACATGTGAAAAGCAGAGACTAGTTAAATAAACAATGCTATAGTCATTCATACAGAGCATCCATTACAAATAAAGTTATAGAAAAAACTTAAAGCATGAAGTAATGTTCATAATTAATAACCAAATCACAAAGCTGCATGAAGAGTATAGCATATTTAAATATATATTAAATACACACATATGTATACACATACATATGCACATACGTACATACACACATACGTACAGAAAAGACTGGAAAGACATAATAGACTGGGTTGTAGGGTGACGAGTGTATTTTGTTTTCCTGAGTTTTCTATAGTAATTGTATATTTTCTATAGTAATTATATATTTTATATGTAATTCTTATATATAGTAATTATATAATTATACATTTTTATAAGGAGTATATTTTTCATTGTTTTATACCTCCTATTAAATAATAGTATCTTATGAGAAGCTCAGGGAAGGTAATGCCCACACATAACAGAAAAGAGAAGTAAAGATGAGACAGGGAAAGTGATTTGTCCTAAGTCATATAAGTAGTCAGTTATGAAGCCATGACACTGATCCTGGTTTGCTGATTCCAAATCCACTACTCTCTTCATTATACACACTGCACTTCAACAAGCGAGTACACTGATCTCATTTAGGAATTACCGGCCATGTATGAGCCAGGGCAGAGCGATGATTAGGATTAAGCTCTAAAGTCAGATAAATATTGATGATTCCACAGTACTATATAACTAAGATGTATGTGAAAGTGCATGAGTGTACATGATGTCCATTTAATTTATTCAGGGGTTACTGAAGACAGAAAGGAATAAAGGAAACCAAATCTACCTGTTCTATCCTTTCATAATGCTTTTGATGTAGGAAAACGGGGTCTGGGATTAAGACCCACAGGTGTCAGCCTTTCGAGATGGGGCCCTAGGTGTGGGCCTTCTGCTTGATCCGGACTTCCATGCACTTCTTGCCACCCCAAACATTGCCTCCCACACACAAGGTCTCGCATTGAAACATGGGGGTCAGAGGAAAAATGGCCAGTCCCTTGTCACTTGCCAGATGTTATCATATTCACAGCACCCTGTATTTAGGAATAAAGAGGCTGACCCAGTTATGGACACAAGCTGGCAGTCACCCTTTCTGATGGTGGAGGGGCTCCAGGTTTATCATTTCTAAGTCACGAGCAATACTGCATCATACCGAGGATACTATGTACATCATATCGGGGTGAAATCTGATTAAGTTGGTCTAGGTCATACTGAACAGAAAATAGCAAGATGAAGCTCTCACAGTTAGTTTTTGGAACTCAGTAGGTGCCTCTGACTGAAACTGTGCCAACTTAAACTAGTCCTTCTAGCCTTCTGTTGCTAAGAACTGTCGAGAGTAGCAGTTTGCAACAGCTGTTCCTTTGAACCCAAAAATCAGGGCCACGGGAAAAGTAAGCATCTCCCTGCTACAGAAAAGCTGTATAGCCTCTGACTTCCCAAAAACAATCACCAAAGGCCCAGCAAGTGCACAGGCAGCTGTGAAGGAGAATGGCTCTAAAAAGTAGCCTACGTAGTCTCCAAGATAAATAAACAAATACCAATGCCTCACATCCAGCAGCCATGATCATATCGGGAGTCAAACTGTACTCTTACTGAATGGGACTGGATACACTTTAATTTCTGCCCCACCCAGAAGCACATATTACTGTACTGGGAGCTAAGTCATGATATGGAATGAAGGTTGTATCTAACCAAACCCTTATTGATCCCCTACAATGTACACAGCACACTGTCTACACCTTTCCTAGATCTATTCCTAAAAGTTAATCCCCTTTTTGAATTGAAAAAAAAAATGTGAAATAGCACCGATTATCAATCTATATTATATGTATCTCAGCACCTAAGATCGACTTGAAAAATTGATTTTTAAAAAATTCAGTGGAGAGAAAAATCAATGCAACAAATGCCAAAATATAGTCATTACTAAAGACATTTGTTCTAAAACAGCATCATACTGTGATCCTTAGAAATATGCTATTTGTAACTGATTTACAAGAAGGATGGGTTTTAATATGAGGTAGCTTTTAGAAATGAGTCAACTTAAATTCCTTACACAATTATAAAATATCAGAGTAAATCCAAGGACATAACAAAATTTATTTTTAAAATTACTTTCAGGTAAAATCAAAGTCTATGACCTTTATCAAAAGGTTTGCATTTCATTACTCACCAACTGACAGCCTTCTAGGGAGTTGACTAGCTGAGCATTCTGACAGGAGAGAATTGAACCAGCCAAATTCAGCATTACACACACTGCAGAGAGCAGCATGAAAAAGGTTATCTGGAAACAAACCAAACAAAAAATGATTATTCACTTGGAGAAGTTTGAAGGAAAAGTGATTTGGCTTTAAAAAAGCTTTCAGTTGATCAAAAAACTGAATAACAGTTATATTTTTTAAAGGGCAGTATTATTTCTCCATTTGAATTACATTGTAAAATATCTTAGGGGCTAAAATAGCTTAGAGGCTAAATATCTTGAAAATACTATAAAACTACAAAAACAGTTTTATACAGTCTTGAAAATAACAAGTTAGAAATTACTAAAGAAAACCAAAGGAAAGAAGTTTGTTTATTAGAAGGCCTTTAAATGTATTTCTTTTCTTTTCTTTTCTTTTTTTGTGGAAAACTTCATACCTATGCAAAACCAGAAAGACAGTTAAATGAGGTTCCACATACCTATCACCCAGACTCAACAACTAACCAACTCATGGTCTATTGTGTTTCATTTATACCCTCTCCACTCCATATTACTTTGCAGTAAGTATCAGACACTATATGATTTCATCCTTAAATATGACAGTTAATTTCTAAAATAAGACTTGTTTTTGAAAACATCACCAAAATAATGTCATCACCTCTAGAAAATTTATCATTCATTAATATCAAATGTTCAATGGTTCACGTTTCCCTATCTCATTTTGAATCCGTTTACACAGGATACAAAGGAGTTCCATATAATGCAACTAATTGTTCTGAATCTTAGGTATTTTTTTAATTTATGGATTTTCTCCTCCACTGTATTTTTTTCTTCCATGAAAGTTATTGAAGAAACCAGTTAATTTGTCCTATAGAGTTTTCTACAGCCTAACTTTGCTGAATGTCTCTTCCTATTAGTTATTATTTCCCTATCCTCTGGATTTCTTGTAATTTGGTGGTTACACACAGAGGTTTGATAACATTCAGACTAATAGAAGGCAAACAGTGTATCTCTATGATGTTGGCAGCCCTTCTTAATGATTGCCTAGATCATTAATTTGTTAGGGTTTCCAAAATAGTGCTAGCATAATGCCATCATTTCTTCTTTGTTTATTCTCAGGGATCAGTATATAGAATACTTTTCCTCATCAATTATTTTGTCACTCTAGAGTACAGTTCATATAGGAAACCAGGATGTATGCTTAATTCTTTATTTTCCAGATTTCAAAATAATTAGTTGATATGGTGCTATTTTACTAAGTAAACTCAGGCCTATAATGGTTAGTTAATACTCTTGCTGCACCTATGTAAATAAGCAGGTTAACTCTAATGAAACAAAACTTTAAACAAAACTCTTCTTGTAACCAAGAATAATCTTTAACATTAATATAATCAAGAGAGGAGAGAGTGTCATGAAAACTTGTTAAAGACTTTGAAATAGGAAAAAAATACTGTATATCCTGTCTAGTGCACTCTTTTGAGTTATTTGTGTCTTTCATTGTCTTTAGGCTATTTTACAACTCTTTACATTGTAGAATAAGCCTAGTAATGTAAATTTTTTTTTGCATTTTATTTATTTATTTTTCATTCATATACCTTTATTTATTTATTTATTTATTTATTTACAAATAGTTTATTGTCAAGTTGGTTTCCATATAACACATATATGTGAGGGTTTATTTCTTGGCTCTTTATTCTATTCCATTGGTCTACGTTTCTGTCATTAATGCCAGTACCACACAGTTTTGATTACTATTGCTCCAAAACTTTTGAAATCAGGAAGTGTGAATTCTCCACCTTTGCTCTTTATAAGGATTTTTTGGTCATTGAGGGGATTGCTTAAAATTCCATATGAATATTAGGATGAATTTTTCTATTTCTGAAAAACGTGGGTTTTTTGAGATTTTGATATGGAAAGCAGTGGATCTGCAGATCACTTTGGCACTACTGACATCTTAAAATATTTAGTCTTCTAATCCATGAACATGGGATGTCTTTCCCTGTATTTATGCATTCCTTAATATCTTTCAACAATATTTTATCATCTTTAGTGTAGTCTTTCACATACTTGGTTAAAATATTTACTTTTTTGTGTTATTGTAAATGAAATTGTTATTCTAACTCCCCTTTTAGATTAATTATTGTTGTATAAAAATACAACCAATTGTTACACTTCGATTTTGTATCCTGCAACTGTGCTGAACTCACTTATTCATTCTAAGAGTTTTTTTTTTTAATAGAACCTTTACAGATCTACATATAAGATCATGTCAATTGCAACAGATGATTTTACTTAATCCTTCTCAGTGTGGATATATTTTATTTCTTTTTTTTCCCTAGCTGGCTAGAATTTCCAATACTGTTCTCAATCATAGTGGTGAATGTGGTCATCCTTGTCTTATTACTGACCTTGGAAAGCTTTCAGTATTTCACTGTTAAGTGTGAGGTCACCTATGGGTTTGTTTTTTTATATATTGCTTTTACTATGCTGAAAAGGTTTTCTTCTATTTCTAGTTTTTTTAGTATTTTTATCATAAAAGTGTGTTAAATTTTTTCAAATGCTTTTTCTGTATTAACTAAGATGATCAAGCTTTGTTTTGTTTTTATATTTTTTTACATTTTTAAAATGTTTATTTTTGAGACAGAAAGAGATGGAGTGTGAGTGGGGGAGGGCCAGAGAGAGAGGGAGACATAGAATTTGAAGCAAGCTCCAGGCTCTGAGCTGTCAGCACAGAGCCCGATGTGGGGCTTAGACTCACAAACTGCAAGATCATGACCTGAGCCGGGTTGGACACTTAACTGATTGAGCCACCCAAGCACCTCTAAGCTTTGTTTTTTTTTTTTTTTCAAATAATTCTATTAATGTGGCATATTACACTGCTTTCCATGTGTTTAATCACCCTTGCACTTCAGGAATAAATCCCACTTGGCCATGGGGAAAAAGTAAGATTTTAATATTTTTTTATGTAAATAAAGTCATGACATTTATTTTGAAACTGTATGCCTTGACTCCGCTCTGGGATTCTATCTTTTCCAGTACCCTGCTGGGCCACATGTACTACTGGCATTGGCTCACAAAAGGTGGGGATATAAGGGTTATTTTAAGCCTCAAACAGTCATAAACATTTGCAAATTCAGGCCAGTGTTTCTTTGACAGGTCAAATCTTTAAGTACAGGTTGATTTTATTTGGTGCCATGTACCAATAGCCACACCTGTATACTTCTTTTTTTTTAATGTTTTGTTTATTTCTAGGAGAGAAAGAGAGAGACAGTGTGAGCAGGGGAGGGTCAGAGAGAGAGGGAGTCACAGACTGAAACAGACTCCAGGCTCTGAGCTGGCAGTCAGCACAGAGCCCGATGCGGGGCTCGAACTCATGAACCGCGAGATCATGACCTAAGCGAAAGTCGGACACTTAACCGACTAAGCCACACAGGCGCCCCCACACCTGTATACTTCTTTCCTAGGCATTAGGCATACACTTTATATTTCAATGCATATATATGTGTGTGTGTGTGTATATTGCTATATATATTTTTTTTGATATATATCAAAATATATGACATATCATTTGATATACACACACACATATTTACTCCCATCATTTTCCTCTTTCTCTCTCTACTTGATTGTGTCCTCCAGTCTTCATGCTTTTGGTGGACAGACCACATTTAAATTCTTTACTCTCACCTTGTTCTTTTTAAAATATGGACATCCAACTCATAGTTAAACCTTTATCCTAAGCCACTTTAATACATTCACATGTTTTGACAATGGGAATTACAACTATTCCATGGATATGATCTTTGCCTCAAGAATGTGGTTTAATTTGCCATTGCCTCTCACTTTTATTTTTTATTGGTTGGGGATTCAGAAGCACTTGCATATCCACACACTTCTGTATTCTCTCTATTCTATTTATCACTGAATAAGTACCAACCATGTGTTTTCCAATTTCATCTCTTTCCTTAAAGTTGCTAGATGAAGCCACAGGCACCAACGTTCATGTTCCCAGGGTTCTGTTTACTAACTTTAGAGTTATAGGTTCATTAGGTGCATGACCTGCTTCTTCAAGTTACCACAAAAGTTACTTTTATCAAATGCTTTTCCATTACCTAACATATATGGTCATTTTCCAATCTCCTCTGTATCAGGGTAGGATTTCTGGATCTCTTTCTGGACCGATCAGGATAGGATAGGTTAAAAATAACTCTAAAATCTCAGTGGCCTAACACAACAGAAGTGTATTTTTTGCTTCCACTGTATGGCCAAAACAGGGCAAGTGGGTTTTGCCTCAGATTCACCCAGGCACTCAAGTCAATGAAGGCTTCACTTCAGCGATGCTCTTACAATCATTTCAGCTATAGAACTTAAAGCTGCTGCCAGGAGGTGTTGTATTGCAAGATCTGTTCACATTTCAGTGGCCAAAGAAGCCACATGGCCACACTCGACATCCAAGGGGATGGGGAAATACAGTTCTACCAAATGCCCTGAAAAGAAATAACCTGATTATTTGTGAACATTCCTAATAACCACAACATCCATATATTGTTCTTACACTGTAAATCCCCTCTGTTACTTTGTCTAAGAAAATGATGTATGGTTCCATTTATGTTGATGACTCTTATTTTTGTCTCCCTCCCAGACTTATTGTACAATTATACAAAAAATTGTTCAACATTTCTACCTATGCATCTCAGAGGCTCCTCATACTCACTTAGCATAGAAAATCAAACTCAGGAAAATCTTCCTGACGTGCTGTTAAACCACTGACATCACCACCATCCTTTTTAATTTCCGACATTAGAGCTGTGAGACATTTTCCATTCACCCTCCCTTATTCTGACCACATCTAATAAATCAGCAAGTCCTATTAATTCTACATAAGAAATCTCTCTCCATCCTTACTGGTGCCACTGTACAATTTCTTTTCTTTTTCTTTTTTAATTTATTGTCAAATTGGCTTACATACAACACCCAGTGCTCATCCCAACAAGCGTCCTCTTCCATTACCATCACCCATTTCCGCCTCTCCCCTATCCCCCACCAACCTTCAGTTTGTTTTCTGTATTTAAGATTCTCTTATG